CTCCCCTCCTTTCTACCGTAGCTCGACGCGGTGATCCTCCAATCAGCGACGCGGACACACTCGCGGTCCCTCTTACCTCTCGGGCTCCACTGATGCTAATTTCACGGGGCTCGCGAAGTCTATTGCTTCGGCAGCAACGTGGCAGCAACGTGGCAGCAACACGGCTCATTCCCCCCTCGCGGCGGCTTCACTGATGATGACGAGATGATCACTTAATTTGGCCAACAGCTGCCGCGCTCCTTCGTTCTCTTCTTCATCTTGTTCCTATACTCTTCCCTTTCCTCTTTCTTCATCTTCTACTTCTTGTTCGCTCATTCTTTTACCGGCTCGTCGACCTGAAGGAACGGTCCTTGAAAGAGACACTTGTAATGGCGAAAAAATATCACGGCAACTTTGTGGTGCAATGCTTATATGCATCGGCAATAATTAAACTCATTGCCGAGCAATTAGTTTAAAAAGTTCGCAATCCGATTGCATATTTCTCAAAATTGTTTTAATCTTTTGCGTACGATGTAGCTAGGCGTTTCTATGCAGCTGGGTTTGCTGCTGCGGTAGCGATCATTGCGGCAGGAACAATTTGTCGTACACCATACGCCGATATCGAGATACCAATCGACTGCACAACGCATTAACTAAATTACTAGCTTACCTCTTATATTTAAGTTAAAAATGATATAGAATATGTTTATTTTAATAGAAGACATTCTCCTGTACCAATACAAGAATTTTTAAATAAAGATGAAAAGATTATGAAATAAGTTTGAGTTCATTAATGTTGCAATCGGCTTTTTTATTACTAGATTGTTAAAATTTGTTATTATTATTGAAGTGGAGTTGAAGCATTTATAATTTATATTTTATTTATTATTCTATCCCTTCTAACTATATAAATTATCAGAAATACAATGACAAAGAAAAATATCAGTGTATATTTCTTCTGTGAAACAAACATTTCATTTGTTTTATTTTTATTTTTTTATTTTTTTGATATTTCTCAATATTTTTAGCACAAAACAAAAACTCCTTTTTGTAAGTTGCTGTTACCTCTCGAAACATGTTTGTACTTACGTAATTCGTTGTGAAGTAATTTTAAATGCACATACAACGCGCCTTTTGCTTTTGATGAACACGTATTTAAGTTTATTGTCTGCAAATTCTTTTGATATTCTGAAAAAAGCTTTAATTGAACTTTTTACAATTCCGCACAGTATTATATCTTTTGATACAGTTCTTCGCAAAATCCAAATAACTTAAAGCTGCATCCAAGGGTGAATGGTTATCGCGATGGAGGCACGATTTATATTCGCTGTCGACGCTGGTTATTCGTCTCCGCGTAACTTTTGCGTCGGCGGAGTTTTTCCTCGACGGTGGAGGTTAGGCGATACGTTTTCCAACGGAAACTGGCGTTGAAACAATGAACCGACCAACCGGCGTGCTGCCTGCAAATCTCCAGACTTAGCGCCCCCATTGTCACCCCTCGACGGCCCTTCCCGCTTCCCTTCGTTTCCGTTCCACTCCACCCCTTCGGGCGAAGGGTGCTTCGCGGATTTAGACAGCCCCGTCGCTATGGCAACTGTGGCGAACGCCGGCCTCTCGAACTTGTTCCACACGCACGAAGCGGAACGCGCGCGTTTTCGCGCCACAAACGACCGATACGAGCGATCGTTTCGCGGCGCGCCAAATCCCCCGTAAAAAGTTCGCTCCGTACTGCGCGTCGGTCATTGAATACAGATTAAAGTGCCAATTGCGTCCCGGCAACTCCGATCACAACGTATTTTGCGAAGAGAATGAGATGGATGTTCGGAAAGCTAAAGCGAATTAGAAAATTAAAAGAAACGATAAAACTTGTTTTAACCAAAATTAATGATAAAATTAGCTCTCTCACTCACTCAGTGTCTAATAAGACAATAATTTTTTTTCTTAAGTTTTATCACTAAGGGTCGTACTTCATTCGACGACGTCAAAGTATACTTCAGCTGATGTGACTGAATTTACTGGTTTAATTTTTAACAGAATTAAAATGAGTGGAAAAAAATTATATCGTAGAAGTACCTAGAGAATTTCTTTCCTTGGAGAACATACAACAAGTTGAAAATGAGATATATTTATCACAAGTTATTAAAAAATTATTAAAACGAGGTAACAGATGAAAGTGAGAAAAACAATCGAAGTACAATCAAAATTATCATTTCACTGTGTAAATATATAAGCTAAAGATTAAATCACCTTTATATTTAATATTTATTGATATATTAGTATATTTAATATTTTATTATGTTTGTTACAATTTTTTATTAAGTTACGTTATTAAAATATTATAAGTAAAATCTTTTCATTATTATCAACATATATTTGCGAAGATATTACCGATATATATTTTCGAGAAATACCTTTTGTCTTTTATCAGGAAAGTGGTGGAAGCATATTATATGTTATGTATTAAGTTATGGTCAGCCCGGAGGGTATAGTGATACCAATGCAACGGACAGGAATGGCAGGAGGAGAGACTGTTGCGGAATTAACCCTCGTGAAAGCTAGTGCTTTCAGAGGATAATTTTATTTGGCAGCGAGTCCTGGCTGCCTGCAAGCTGTTTGGCCGCCATCTTCGTTCTCTCACTCTCCCTAGTTTTTATATTATATTTATCTACCACAGAATTTATTCTCTTATTCCAAGTTTTTTTAATGCTTTACAGTAAAATGTTAATTACTGCAATTTTATGCGACGTTTTGTCGATTTCAGTACAAAAAGTCCATTTTCTTCTTAGAAATAGAGAGGCTTACCTCTCTTTCCGTGAGAAGAACGAACCTCACATATCTTTCACGGGTGTGAGATAAACTTTCAAAGGCGGATAGTAGAAGAGTGACGGTTACGGGTCAGATTGGGAGAGACGAGGGTAAAGAAAAAAAAATAAGGTCCACCGTCTCTCCCACGAGAATGGTTGAGAGAATGGAGTGAAAACGTCTCCATTTGCTGAACGGAACCCGATTTTTTCGAAGTCCATCTTCCTCGCTTTATTCTCAGAGGTTATTTACTTTTGGTAATTTCATTTTTATCTAACTTTCACACAGGAAGCTCTAAATATCTGGATTGGTGTTTGTAAAATACACATAAATCTCTGTGTTTTTCAGTTAGTTAATTTTACAAAAGATTGCAAAAACATTATTAAACATGTTTTTTATTCTCAAATGTCAATCCATTTAATGTCACTTCAGCCAATTATGAGCCCGCAAATTTCCGTAATGTGATTGTATCATATATTGTGTCATGACTGTGGAAATCAGGTTTATTTATCAGATATATCGAAGTATTTAAAAATATATAAATCTCTCAAACTTTTATTATATCTCTCTTTCTTTTGACAGATTACCTTTAATTTCTAATTATATAAAACTATTTTATTTAACGTGTTTTGCTGTAAATTCAATGACACGTCGCGATGCAAAACATTTGTTTTATCTTATCACACTATTTCCTAATTTATCGTTACACATGTTATAAAGTAAAGAACGTAAATAAAATAAATAAAAAAATATAGTAATAAATATTGTTATAATGAAAACCTTGGCACACATCTCGCTCGCGAGCATGCAATAACGATCCCTTTCCCGAGGGTAGCCACCCTCTCCTGTACCTGTAACATCAATTAAAATTCTCGTGGTTGATGCGCCGCTGTTTCGCGCGATCGTCCGACGTTTTTAATTGGATTAGAGTGAGACGGCTATATAGAGCGACCGAGGGAAAGGTAGCTCGTTTCGAGGGTGCGAGATTGTAGAAAGGGGTTGGTGGGATATTTCGGAATGAGGCGGTGGTGGGTTTGGTAGCAAACTCAGGTAAATGACAGAGATGAGCAACTCTATTTCCTTTTCCAGCTGATTCCACCGATTGGCCGAGAGCGAAGCATCCAGGAAATGAAGAAATTAACTTTGTTATCAAAGCTTAATTTGTCTTCATTGAAAAACTTGTATGTATTGGATTTAAATTCATTGTCGATATTGTCACGATTTTTATTTCCGAATAACATTAATTTTGTTATTCGAAATGACTGTTATCTAGTATTTCTGGCGCAAATACGATAGATGTAAAAATTTAGTGAGCATTACTGCTGAGTGCGCATAATACAAAGAGGTCAGCACAATTTTCTTTTTAAATTTGCTACAATAACCAAGAGATCAGTTTTGTACATCATATCTGCATTCGCAACACGCTGCATTAATTATGTATTCAATAAATTTTAAACGCATTAAAATGAATTCAAATTGCCGATTAATATTAAACGACGTTCGCTAATTGGCCGGCCAATTATGCGGCGTTAATTAAACATTAGGAGCAACGCCTGCTAAGCAAATATGATTCTGCCATCTATTGACTTCCGGTCGAATTTAGAGAAAGTTCACGGTAAAATAACGCCATCTATTAAGTACAATAATAATTGCGCTTTCTTTTATGTGTAACATAAACTTATAAACAATTTATATATATTTGTAAAAAAACCAGTTTTATAAAAATATATTATAAGAAAATTTTAACTAAAAAAATACACAATGCATTTAAAGATAATTGAAGAGATTTACATTATCAACTATTTTTGTTTGCACTGAAGATAATTGAAAATCCTTCTTGAACTTCACTAGACAGTTCAATGTTCGTACATGTGTTTTATTAACGATTAAATGATTGTTATGAATGCACATGTGTTTTATTATTCTTTCTCGAAAACTCGCTATATTTTTAGGGTTTTTATAGGGTTTGACAATTTTATATCTGACAGATCTCTATATCTTGAAGGAAGAAAAGAAACGAACAAAGTATAAAGATTTTTCCCATACGGGTTTCCTTACACTCTATATTTATTTTTCACACACAACAAATATTACATTATATAATAAATACATCTATATAAGGAGAAAGGAGAAAAGAAATATTATCATAAAAAAGAAATCACATTTTATTACATTCAACACTACAACAAATTGATATATTTTCATGTGTGAGGGCGCATAAATTATTTTCTATCTATTTCAAATTATATACGCATTAAGACATATGAAGTAAGAAATATAAAAACAAACGACTTCGGCAAACATAAGAGTTATTAATGGAATTGTTTTTTTAGTTTTGATATGTCTTTGATTTAAATGACACTATTACGGTGCGTATGTCATTGAGAAAAAAATGAAAGAAGTCTGGAATTAAAAATTATATTTTTCTGATTGACATAGTTATATGACAACGTAATCATTCCACACACATTGAAGCAAAGGTTTTACCATGCTGCAATGTTTGTGAAACAAAATTATCTTCCGTAGTATATTATATTCTTAACTGAAAATATCAAATTTCGCCCCGATGAGTTCTGTGACTATATTGACCACCGAATATATTACAATTATATTGACTACATTAATGTTTCACGTTATGCAATTTTATTCGAATGGTTATGTAGCTGAAACGTGATGACGCATTAAGTTCTCAACAGCGAAATTGCTGAATTTTTTTTTTTTCAATATCTAAAATAAGAATGATTAAAAAATTTCAGACTGTTTGCTATTTTTATCGCTCATTCAATTCTCTTAGAGTATGTGATACAGATTACAAAAAGTTACACTTTTCCCACAAATTACACTGTTAAAGATCCTGCTCTTAACATTTAATTATCTCAGAATCGCTTAATTTAAGGCGATTATTTTGGCACAGTTATTATATAATACTTCGTTTTCTATTCTTTTTTTTTTTTTCGAGATCTCTATTGCAAAGAGGATTTGCAACGTCGATAATTAATAAAAATGTATTTTCTCGTTTATGTGAACCGACATGTATATACGCCGACATATTGATATACGTCGATAAATACAATATATATTATATTAGAATACGATAGAGTTATATTTCGCTGGTAAGAAAACACTCTTTTTATTTTTATTTTTATTTTTTTTTTACGCAAATCATATTGCGCATACGTCCTCCAACCCGCCTCAAAAGTCACACCAAGCTCCGATTACAATGGGATCTCCTCTTCTTGGAGTTATCTCGGTGTCGGAGGCGGGGATGGTGGTCATACAGCGCTTCCGGTATAAAAGCTCGCCTTGCCGGCCAAGCCAGACGCTCGCTTCTTCTTCTCACATTCCATCGTGCTGAAGGTGTTTTGAGCGATTTGCGACTTGCGCTTTGGATTCTGCAGAGTCATGCTACGCTGACTGGAGCTGGAACTAGAGCTGGTACCCGGTTCCGATACTCTGAGAATACCCGAGTGTATCGTTCCGAAGTTCTGGTATATGTATTGCGACGGGATGGCGGAGACCGATGGGTTTTGGTTCTTCAGCGTGATCGGAACAGTCTGGCCAGCTAAACTGTTGAATCTGGTGTCGTAACCAAAGGGGGTGTCTAACAAGGATTCGGTTTTCTCGACGTAACTAGTCAATCTAGAATCAAGAAGATCCTCTTTGTCAGCAAAGCCGGTTAATCTGGAATCCATGACGTTCGGTTCGGTGTTTCTTGCGGGAAAGTCGGTGTATCGTTGTTCCTGGCTGGGTTCCTTATTATCTGTGAAGGCAATCATATTCTGTCTGGAATCGGATAGAATCCGGGAATCGATGAAGCCTTCCTTATCGGTGAAACCGCTCAGTTGGGAATCTACGACGTTACCCTCCGTTTTATCGAAGTTATATCGTGGGTCGAGGTTCTTGTTATCCGCGGGATAGGCTGGCAAAACATGAGATAGGTCTGCTTTATCGACGTAACTGATGGTCTGTGGGTTCGACGCGCAGATATCGGGTGCTGACTTGCAGAGTAACGAAGTTCCTTCTTCGGCTATTTTTTGAGGTGCTAGGACACAGAAGTGCGGACTTACTTTCCTCCAGGCATGAGAAAGCGCGCTTATATTTGTTACAGGGTGTCCCGCAGCACTTCAAAGTTTTTTTTTTTTAATATCATTGGGATTTCTTCTCGGACTCAGAATCTTGACTCGAACTGAGTAGCATTTTCTATGGATATAATGAATGACTTAATTTTTTTTTTATAACGCAAACTTTACAGTTATGATATGCCGCACCATCACACGCGGGACACCCTCTTTAGCGATAAGTTCACCCACTTTTGGTTGGTTGACCGAAAGGTCGGGTCTGCGGCGGTCCCGGTGATTTCTGATGCGCCCTCACGAGATATTCTGAGCTGAGTCCTCTCTGTTCCCGCAGCTTTCTCTCAGCCCCCGGAACCATGACCCTCACCTAAAAGAGAACGAAGGACATGAATATCCTCGGGTAGAATAAAACCGTATACAGCTAAAAATAAAACTTCACTCTCTCTCTCAATGTTAAAGAGCGGATGTCGTTTTTCACGTTTTAAATATATTCGCATTTATGTAAGTGAACGTATCTAGTTAAACCAAGCGGTACAAATTGCGCGGCAAAAAAGTTTTAATCGACAACTTCACCATCTCCTCGACCGTAGAAAATCGCGCCATGTAGCCGGACATCGTTAAAACGGCTGCCAGTTCTGCAAGTATCAGCGCTAATCCCGAGAGCTGTAGACACCATCCATAGTGATACTGAGGTAGACCATTATCGTCTATCTGTATGCCAGCTGTCGATGGCAAACTGTATTTTCCTGATAGCTCCAGTGATGCATCCGACAAAGCCGACGCCAAAACTATCAGACCGCCACCCAAGGAAAGTCCTACAACACAGTTGTACATATGTACATCCAATGCGTTATATTTGTTTTAAAAAATATACTGTACGAAGAATCGTTTAAAAAAATACATACATACTTATAAACATTTATTAATAAAATGTTACTAAAATCAATAATTATTAAACAATAATATTATTTTTATTATAAAATATATACAGTTATCAATTAGATTTATACATGTCTATACGGATTAAATTTAATTAAATTTATGAGAGACTTTTTGCAATATATCTGTATTTATTTCTCTCCCATTTCTCTCTCTCTCTCTCTTTTCCCAATAAATCTATATTTAATTTATAATTAAATTCAATTTACTTATCAATCCGAACTAGTGATTAACATCACTATAGATCATTGTACTGTCTTTCATTTTGCTCGCCCGAAACGTGCTGTACACATGTATGTTGTGTTCAATCTCTTCAAAGCGTCTTGGGCCAAAGTGACAAACTTGACAAACTTGATTAATCTTCGCAGAGCCTAGAGTTGGCTTTCACGTGAAAGTCGATAGGGAGGTGGTTCGTCGCTTGTAAGGTCGCCCTGGCAATCTTGGTTAATCAAACTACCCGGCTACGAAGCCGGACATTCTGTCGGAAATGGCTGAAGATTCCTCGGGTCGTTTCTTGCCGCAAAGCCGGAGAGGGAGGTAACGGGTCACGATGCATTCTCGAGATATTGGCGGCCGATAGCTTCCATAACAACGATAATCAAGACAAATATGTGAGATATTGCTTGAATACACAAAAAATTGCTGTACGAATCGATATGCGGACATATATTATATCATTTCCTCGATGTAGAGCGAACACATATATGTTGTACGCGCCAGGAGTCAACACGCATGCCGTACACGGTTGTGATATGTTACTAGTGGGTCAAGTTATTTAATCCCGTCGGTATAAACCATAGCCAGCACGTCTGAAATTTATGCACCAAAATAGCGCCAGAATGCACGCCAGGATATACGCTGTTCTCTTTCTCTCTCTCTCTCTCACACTCTCTATATGCTCTCAAAATATTCGCGCATATTCTCCCGGAAGACTCAGTTCCGCGTTGGCGTACTTACACGATCGGTTAGACGAACTCGATTTACAACGTCGTACATGATCACGTGATTTTTCCAATTGAATTTCTGCTGATTGGTATATTTTCGCGTTGTTCAAACACAGTTTTACATAACGGGAGAAAATTTTAATAAGAGATTTGGTTTTTGTTTTATAAAACAAAAAATAATATATTACGTTTATAAACTGACTTTGCCGGAATTAGCGATATTTTTGATGTATCAAAATACCGCGCAACGCATCGAATTACACAACGATCAAATCGAACACGATATTTTATCGTGTTTTGCTCTTGACATAATCGAAGAGCGATTAATTTTATAAATTCGAGCTGAATAAAGCGCGGGCGTGTGTCAGTGTATTGTGTGTTCGTAAATAAAAATAATTTACATCACGGCGAACGATATACGCGAAATATATAAAACAATATACGAAAATAATGTCTTTTCGATCACGGTGTTTGCGCGAATTTTCATAACATCGCGCCGCATATCGAGTTGTTGTCACATATATCTCTTTTGGATATGATACGTTTATTAATGCTGGATATTAAAAAGTGATGCGCGCACACGCCATGTGTGCGGCTAGAATTTAATTTAGTCCGAACACAAGTCCCGCTTCCTCCCACATTCTCGGTATATATACATATATATATATATATTACTAAATCTAACAATGAACAAATTTCACAATTTATGCTGCAACCCCCTCGTTGCTCAAACTATTACTCAAGCAATTTCCGCTGTGATAAAAACAGCTGTTTTAAATTAAAGCATCATAGAAGTGTTAGGAAAAATTTTAATTCTGACAGTTTTCTAAAATCTGAATGACTGTATTTTATGAATTAATGTATTGTATAAAGACAAACATATCTTTCAAAGTGAAGAATCAACCAGAAATGTTCTACGGTAAAGCAAAGATACGCTATATCCGAATTTTACGATATTCTCAAAAAGGTCTGAATTTGGGATGTACGTCGTTCTTTATGTGAGCTGAGTGATGTGATGTCGAGTGCGCGTACTAAGAACTATTCTGCATAATAATAACGACGTCGTTAGACGACTTGACCCCCTCATCTTACAACGACCCATAAAAGAGAACGAACTGAATATACGCGTTCCTCAGACTCCGCGAAATACGCGGAGCGCACCTTAAGATTTAATGAAAATGAATCCTTTTTTTCGCAACAGCACATTCAAGCGTGAATTATTATTAATGCAGCTTGTACAATTTGCTCAGGATGATCGTCAAAAGTGAGCTGTAATTTTCTTTAAGCTAGTACCGTGTCACAACGCCATTGATAATGGCTTGCGCACAATTTGCGCTCGAGATGCGGAACCAGTGACGCGAAAAACGAAACAATCGATTCACCCAGTAGCATCTTAGAACAGCGACGTGAAGCACATTTGTGTTCGTTCGAGCGTGAGCGAGCATTGTTGCTCGTCAAATGCAGTAACAACCTGCATTAGAATATTTTGTAACATTTTGAATTATTTTCGTTCCGTTTCCGCACAAAGAAAACCCGAGAGAGGAGACATGTTATTACATACAATATTTACATTCCTTTTCTACGTACAAAACGTTTGCTCGCGCATACTCGCATATGTGCATAAATCATTTTTAATTATTATATAAATATATAAAAATGCTTTAATGCCAGATAATTAAAAATTTTAAATATTTATTAGAAAGCCATGTGTGAAAAGAGAAAGAGAGAGAGAAAAAAAGAGAGAGAGATTGTGCAGAGATCAGTCATACTTTTTTGGGGGAGCGGTAAAGCGAGAGTAAAATAAACTAGATTAAAAAATTCACAGCTGAAAGCAAGAGTGATAAAAAGTATCGTGATACTCTGTATGCATGCAGATGCAATTTCGAGCTGTACACTGGTAATTAGGCAACCGCAATTAATCACATGCGCATCAAATATTTACGTGAACAGAAAACCGCGCTTTATATAGGAACATAGTGCAATTTATCATGTTCCGCTCTCATACCGAATTACGTCCCTAATCCGATGAACTTTTCAACAGACGAGGAATTACGCGAAACATGAAAACGTCCTGTTTCTATATCAAGGAATGTTTTAGTAATGCAAAGTGAAATTTGCAATTAATTAATTTTAGTCATCATGTCATTATGCGATTGCTTTCATCCGCACGAGAATTACATCAATTTTTATAGAAAATTTAATATTATATCGCAGTAATGTGTTTATTAAAGTATATTCTATCATAATAGACATCCAACATATAATGCGGAATCGAATAACGTTGTAGAAAACATTACGACAAGCGATAAATTACCTTCTGTGCTGGTGTGTGGTATTTAAATTTCGAAACTACTCACTAAGTTTTGTGAAACGCAGAATCACGCGACACGCGAAACGAACATTTACATATTTGCGTTATTCGAGAGTATTCGCTGTATGTTATATGTCATATTTTTGTTATATGTATTACCTATATTTTGGTTTATTCAGGCAGAGCAGAAAAACTTGCGCTCTTTCAAAAGTTATATTTTTATTTTTGTCACAACTGCGAGAAGTAACATTATTACCGAAGCAAACAGAAACGCGGCCATGTCTCACACCACCGCAACTCGTTTAATTTAATTATAGCCATTAACAACTATAGCGCGGCTAACTTCGCACAAGTTATTACAAGCTTATAACTTGCATTGTAAATTACTTGTTTCCTCGGGCACAGCTAGATCGTCAATACGGTGGCTTAAAATAATAATTCGCCGTCCGATAGCAGCGGTCGGTCTCGCGGCAGCATTCCTCCAATGCTGAGACGGAGCTCTATTAAGAGAACCGCGAGGAGCGACGAAATTTGAATAAGTTCGAAAAGGACGAAATTCGCCCGCGGGCCTCGACTGTGACGGGTGTGGGATTTATTCAAATTGAAGGCGACGGAAGCGAAATGTCTGGCGCGCTCGCGGGTTGTCAACTTTCCATTTTAAGTTTGTTGACGTACCGAGTCGAAGTTCGCAGTCGCGGTACTTCCGCGGAACTAGTCCACCATTCTCGAGAGACGATTCCGTTCCGACAGGTAAAATATTGTTCCGTTACCTATGCTGCGTATTGATTCTAGATATTGCAGCGGTACTCCCGAATGACACGGGAGCATAAATAACGATGAAAAATGCACGGATCAGTTGAATAATGTGGAGAAATATCATCAATCGCGAGAAGAAAAGACACTTTTTTATCATTCATTTATTCTCTTACATTCAATTTACTTCCAAGTTCTAGTTTCAAGGTAATTAACTGTTAATTAACTGTTTATAACAAACTTTTAATGGACATGATACACAGAGTATTCGCTTCGCAAAATAAAAATCCATCAGTAATTGTGTAACTTGAGTTTTTTTTTTTAAGCGAAATTGCGTTCATCACGTCTGAAATATCACGGCCTGGCTCTTTCGCGATACAATATGCAGGCTGCAGGAAATTTAGTCACTCGGCCAACGATTTTCCCTTACTGTCATTATAATAAAGCTCAATCTCCGTTCTGCATTACAACATTTTAATGAACGCACTGCTCGACAAAAGTGTTTATATGAGACATATGGAAAGTTTTTTAATCTGCTTGTTGGCGCGCGCCAACAAGCATATTGCGATTTCTTGCTTGCGAGAGCACACCGTAGAGATATCAACATTTATTAAAAACATTATGCGCACAGTAACGAAACTTGGAAAGTGCTCACAATTCTTTTCAAGGTTTTAACTGCGATAAACTAAAAAGAAGTTTTATTGTCTCCAGGATCCCGTGCAACTACGTGTACGTATATAATGCCCTTATTTTCTCTTCGCGCACGAGAGTATACATACTATATTTACATGCACTTTTTTCTCTTTGCAAACGAGAGATAAATTTAAATATTCATCCGTTACATCTCTAAAAAAGAAATGTTAGATGCAAAGTAGAACTTATACATCTGTGACTAAAGTTATTATCATTACCAAAACGTAGATTCCTGTTACGACTTGAAAAGAAGTCACGCGTTGTCGTCTATTTTCGAACTTTGAATGCCTCTTTAGAAGTTTTCTTTCTTCAGATTGCGCGCGACACTGAGAGAAGGGAGGGCTGGGGGTAGTTTTTCCACTTTTTAGTAGCCGACACACATTTTCGTTCCTTTCTCTTTTGCATGCAGGACCGCGTGCTCTTCAGTGACTGCTGTTCTCTCGCTCACTCACTCTTTCTTTCGTAAGCACTTTCAGTAATGCACTTCTTGGTGCATTAACCTCCGGACCGGGCAGCACATACACGTCAAAGCTTTTGTGCTCAATACAAATGCAAACGTTTAACGCAGACCGCCTTCCGCACTCGGCGGAAATAATGCGAGGAAGCTTCCTTCCTTCTCTCTTTCCTACATCTTGCTGGCAATCCCGTTTGCAATCGTTAATCGTTCCGCATGCACAGTTTCCTTGCCGTTTATATCCTTCAAACTTGTGTCAATATGTGCATGTAAGGATTTTACTGGATAGACATTTTAGGTGAATAGAGAGGAAGCGGTTGCCGTGTCGCGATGCTTCAAAGCATCAGTCCATCTCTGTTCTGCACTCTTAGTTATGAATAAAAATACATACAACGCTTCAGAACACATTTGTATGTTGACCGCATCCGTAAAGTTGCGTTAAGATTAAAACTACGCTCGTACATTTTTCTGTTTGCTGTTCTTTCGCTTTAAGCTAATTTTTATTTTTCTCGTTATTTTTCCACATATTTACTTTTATTTGAAAAGAGATTTTAAGTGAATTTACAGTTAAGATAGTCGCGTCTTTACTTTGTTCTTTTTTTTTCTTTCAAAACAAAAAAACAAAAAAAAAACAAAAAAAGAACTTTCGCTCTCGATTTCGAAAAGATCCTCTCGGAAGTGAGTGTGAAAGATATCGGAGTGGATGAATGGAGGGTGGTAGACGAGAAGCGTGAGGAACGAGAGAAGAACGTGAAACGAAAACGGATGTCGCGGCCGGGAGGGACGAAATCGTTAAAAGGAATGCGCAGTCGAGCGAAAGAGACTTTGAGAGGTTGATGGTGGGGAGTTGGTCGGACCAGTTGAAATAATGTAGCTCTAAAAAGCTCTGCCAGAAACTCGAAGAGGCACCCACGCCACTACATTTTAAGTTCCTTTAGTTCTTTCTAAGAAAAAAATATGCCCGCAATTTATTTCCCTTACCTTAATTTCAAGCTTACGCTATTTGCGTAAATAACACACGCGTAAATGCAACAGTGTTTTTACATTACCTCATATCAACAAACAATTATTATTTTACGATTATTGTGTGTATGTATCGGTTTAATTTTAGATACTGACGACCATCCGTTATCGCACGAGGAAGCTCGTGGTGAGGAAACCCGTGAAGAAAACAAGGAAACATGCGGTAAATTAGACGTATGTGCGTCAATACGTATGTGTGAATATCGATGTTATTACAATCCCACCTTTAACGATTGACATCGGGACAGTTTCGTTTTATACAGCGCTAAGTCAACAACGATTTTGATTTGAATTTTTTTCTTATATACCTTATAATAGAAAAAGGACAGTTTTTATTTGTGAATAAGAATTTTCGTGTCTAAGACTCAAATCTTACATTACTTTATCACTACTTGTGATTTTTATTCGGCTTCTGTGTGATCAAGTGTTTTATATAATTACATCATTTATTAAAATGAAACGTGTTTACGCGATTCATCTGATCGCGTGTTTCGTGTTGCTTGTTAACAACAACGGTTTGACAGAAGGTCACACTCTCAAAAAATTTTTTTCCGGACTAAAGAATTTCAAGACTCTTTGGCATGGGATTCTTCCAGGTAATATTTGTCGTTTTTCTAGTCAATTATAAAAAATGCAGGAAGTAATTCAGCTTAATTGGCGCATAATTAATTTGTAAATGAATAATTTATCGAACATATATGTTTATTGATGATTTAGCGAATTTATATATATGTATAGTATATTCGTTATTTATTCAGGCACGCTTTGGTGTGGCCTAGGCGATATTGCCCGTGATGATTTGGAATTGGGCGCGCACAAAGAGCTGGACATGTGTTGCAGAGCGCACGATAAGTGTGAGGACTTCGTAGAGCCTAAATCCTCGAGATACGGATTGCAAAACAAGCACATTTGCAGACTGTAACATTTTTTTTTAAATTACTGCAATATTTTTGCAAATTAGAAAATATTGTTAAGCACTCGTTTCCTCTGCAGATCATTATGTGAATGTGAGATGCAATTTTATGATTGTTTGAAGCAAGTGAATGGTTTGTACGCATTCGTTATAGGACAGATTTATTTCGCAAAATGCAGACGCTGCTTCAGCACCTATAATGATGCTCAGGAGTGCGCGAAAGAGTGAGTACACATATAAATACACATTTATTTTAACCAAAAAATCAAACTTACATTGATCAATAAATTTTTTACACAAGCAAATATTCCAAATTAATTATATATATCTTTCTCGTGATCAATTACTATATTTAACTATGATGGCAATATATTGATGAGATTTCAAACACTATTATATTTAATTTATTAAAATCCCATTAAACATTGCGTCAGATTCTCTAATTGTTATCAATCAATTAACTTGGGATGAAAAGTAAATCGATGTCGAAATCAATGTTGTTATTACTTCGGTTGATATTAGTCGGTTTTCTGTATAGCTATAAATTAAATTAATTATATCATTAATTAGGGGTCTCAATATCAACGAAGAGCAAGACCGCAAGGGAGGTCGTGTTTTCTGCGCAAAGTTTGACCGAAATCCAAAATGGGGACAACGACATAACGTATCAGAATCGACTCCCAACAAATTTCTAGACTTGGATGATGATGATGATGATAATGATAATAATGATGATGAAAATTTTATAAATGGTGGAAAACATCCTATTGAGGAAGATGACATTATTTATGATTACTACAAAAGCTTTCAGCAGTGAAAATACGCGTCGATCCAAAGTAATGATTAACATACACATGTCGAAGTCTCTTCTTAATCGCTGTACTATTAAATTATGAAAAAGAAACTCGCGCATTCTTGTGTAAAAAAAAAAAAAAAAAAAAAAACAAATTAATATAACTTCTTAATCTTGCGCGTGCAAATTGTTTCTGAAAATAAAGAACCTCAGGTTACCACTTAAATAATATATCTAAATACAGCACTGATGCCTCTTGAGTACTATTTCGAAGATTTCCTCCCTGAAATTGCTTCGTCCTCAATGGCGGTCGTTCGTAAAGTGTGGGAGGAACGAGAGCACTTGAAAATCTGCCGAGAATTTTATCGCGAGATTGTAGACACGTGGGCGAAGGAAGGTTATTTTCTATTCTGCGATTTTGCTCTCTCTCTCTCTGTCTCTCTCTCTGCTTTTTTTTTTTTTTTTTTTGCACTTGAGGAAGTGTACTATCTTGCACGCCTTTTCGCCCCTTTCTCACCCCTCTTCTTTCACACGAAGCAAAAGAATGTTTAATTATGCAAAAGTGCGCAAGAAACTTTTGCCGGAGGCGCTCGTTCCGCGGAGAGTGTTTCTAAATTAATAGCAAGGGAGAAGGGCAACTAATGCGAATCAACAATCAGCGCGTTGTTCAGAACTATCTTATTACTGCTCGCGCATATTCATTTTGCATATTTTTCATTTACGCATAGAAGAAAAAAGTCCACAAACTCTAAGAATATATATTAAATATATGCGTATATGTATACAAGCTTCGATAATATTTACCGCTTAAAAGGAAGAGTCCGCAAGCTATGAGAGTCCTTTGATCGGAATAACAATGACCGATCACGGCTGATATTGTTGCGGCGAGAATCAACAGTGCGGCGACTAGTTGGAACGGCGCGGAGACTCTGAAACAACAACACTGCATCTTAAATATTTATCAAAAACGAAGAACCCTGGATTTGTGTGGCTCCCGCACATGTACGTGCAGTTGCGGGATATTGAGCGCACATTTGTTTTCGAAACTTCTGGCTTGCATGCAACAATGCAATTGCACACCATCTCGTGGCTCCGTCGTCGGCGCGATAATTTTGTAGAATCGAATTATGTGGTGTATCGGTCGCTGCGGGAGATGAGAATTAATAGTTTCAGCCGGAGCAAGGAAAAGCAATGCGTCGACGCCGCGGTAAGGGAATACAGACCGCGGTGGCATCATTTGCCGATGAGGGACCTGGTATGGATATTGAGCAGTGGGTTGGCGAACCTGTTTAGTAATAAATCAGGGCCGTCGTCGCGCGATAATATATACCGCTCGGTCGTAGCTTGTAATAAAACGCATTGCTTCCAAAACAATCGAGGAATCTCTCAAGACGGAGATTTAGTGAACTTCGGGAATCGATGAAAGTACTGCTTACTTCAATGACAAGTCCTGTGCGTTTCGGGACAATTATTGCAAGCGGGAAAGAAATGAAAGCACGGACTTGTTTGTTAAATGCACTTCTCAAGTTAGTGATCGCATCCCTATGTTTGCTTCGAATTAATTCGGACAATTTGACGGTGCCAGTAGGCAGCTTCGTAGCGTCTACCTCAGTGCGTAATGCCGCATAACCGTTCTACATTACATACGGATGTAGGATTGGTATGCGAGTGCATCCCGCGCGCACATCGTCATCCACAACCCTCCGGGGCGGCAGATAGGGCGGCGTGTATTTCGCGGGGATGAATAGTCGGCACGGTATGTTTCTGGCTCGGTGCCAAGCCGGGATAACCATCAGAGCTACCACATTAATAGAGTTTTATTGTTATTTACGGCGACACCATCCCCTGTTTCTATAATAACCGGCCGCGAATTAATTGCTTGCGTTCGATTTATTTTATTACGCGCTACTTGAAACGTCACTGATTGTATTTGGCTTGTTTTTCCGCGAAAAATAAATCTTCGCAAAATAATTCGACAAACGAAAATAAAACACACAGAATACACAAAGAGGCGTGTGGTTTTTTATTTTTAGTTTTTATTTTTTTTTTTTTTATTTTTTTTTTTTGTTGTAAACGAAAAACACAGAATATACAAAGAAACACATTTTAAAAACGTTTTTTATCAAATGACGCTGTAATTTCTGGCAAATTCGTTTCTATTCTATTTGCATCGCGTTTTCTCTCTAATTCATTCGCCGGAACATTCCAGCTTACGGCATCTTACGCTACGGCATGAAATTTCAGAAGACGCGACACTGTCACGCGAGTATCGCAGCTCAGATTTCGCGAAAGTGCCATTTCGCTCGACGTCGCATAACATCACATCTCCTCCGAAATATTGACCCTTAGCTCATAATGCTTCCGCTTTTTGCTCGAAAGAGTGCTCTCAAAGGAACATTCTATTTTACCTTAGAACCCGTCTGCTTGAACGCAATAAAATTTTTTCCTCAATTTACTATCGTGCGTACGATTTAAGAAAGGTCGAAATTTGAGTGGAATATGATCTTTGCTTAAAAATAAATTTCAATGCCATTTATAAGCCGTTCGTTAAATAAATTTTTTAACTTCGAAAATTTTTCATTATAATTTTAACGCTACCTCTGTGCACGGAGGTAAATATTTAGTTTGTCAATATTTAGTTGTAAGCAAAGAGAATATTGCCTGGAAAGAATCTGGTTTGTTGTTTTTATTTCGAGCGCCTACAAAAACAGCACGACATACGTAATCAGAATTACATTCTTCGAATAGCGAAACGTGGCGCAGGGTTTTTGCTGATTCATTAAAGTGAATACGCTCTTTGATCTTGGTCTTTCATCAGAGATCGCAAAAAGCCAATTTAGAAGAGACTCTCGTCACAATAAATAATTGCGATGCGTCAAAGTAACGATTTCAGTGCTCCAGGCTCGTTAACGAGCGGATTATAGCTGCGCTTTTGAAGCGTTCTACCGCTTTTCCTACACAGACGCTTCTAATTAAACTAAGTCTTTGATCCTTAGAAGCTCGAAGAAGCCCGAAGTGAACGCCAAGCATTAATTCTACCGTTATTAATTCAGATAAAAATTTTGACTGTTCGAATTCTGATATTTAAATTCGTATAGTTTATGCTGTCTGATAGATTGCCAATTCTTGAGAGCATTGATAAAAAAAAAAAAAAAAAAAAAAAAAAAAACGCAAATCTTTGCAATCTTTATTATGTTTCCTCTGCCAAAAGAGGCATTATAGAAGCTGTGAAACTCTATACTACATGAAAAAAAGAAAGAGATGCATATTCTTGCAAAATTCTGATACGACGAATTATAATAATCTGACGATGATATATTGATAGTTTTTTTTTCTACGTATTATTTCTTTAGATTTTCTTAAATGAGATAAATATCGCGAGATTATTAGAGATCGCGCAAGTGGAAGAAAGAGTAACATTTGACGTAACGAAAAACTGGGTATCTCGAAGGGGTATCTAAGGGCACGTCGAGAAACAGGGGGACCAGTTACGGTACGAAGATAAATGTTCGTTTTCGGAGTAGTTACAACGGGCTCGTTTAATTTAAGCGACTAAAAACGTCACGCGCCCGCATTTGATAAACGAGAATTCCAAACGTCGGTTGGCGTCTTGTAATTTATGAATTTTGCTCTCACTCGTACGTCGATCACGCCATTTTTGTGTGCACGCTTGGTTTCTCAAACGATACGCGGTGTTATATGAAAGGGCTGAAACAGATAAATGATCCAGATAGAGAAAGCTCGTAGTAATACATTTGTTTAACTATCAGCTGTATTTTGATTCAAAATATATTTATTACAAGTCAATGTAGTTTCCTGATACTATCAATATCAATGTGTCAAACGTTCTCTACAACGTACATTGTTTAAGCAAATATGATTTTTTTTGTGTATCGTTCGGAATTTGAACGAATGAAACCATTTGCTGAGAAATTTGAAGAGTAACGAGTAGTGACACTTTAATCTGCGCCGGCAGCGGCGCGTTCGCGCAGTGTTTAGCTCGATCTTGCTCGCAATTTTCGTACGTCTCTCTCTCTTTTTGACAATGCGTCAAAACGAGCAGAATGTAGAACGACGCGAGCAGACGCCTCCAGCACTTCCGGTTTCCGCACGAGCGAAGAACGCGTGCTGTGTCGGTTGAGCAAGTTACGTCGACGGAAGACAATAAAGGGTCGGCAACAATAGAAACAGAGAAAAGGGCGGCAAGATGGCTACCGCAGCACTAGAAGGACGGTGTGGAGAGAACAGCTAGTTGAGAAGCAAAAGGAGAATGTCGTGGGATCCAGAATGAGACAAATGATGAGTCCCGGGCGTCAAGGAGGAGTATGAGCGGACACCACCATTTAACATGTAGCTGAATAGCCATCCGGAAGAACAGCTTCCCCCAAGAACTCTCCACTATCTTCCCTTTCAATCCTCCTCTCTCTCCTTCTTCCTTCTCTTTCTCTTTCTCTTTCTCTCTTTCTCCCCTCCGGGATGTTATTCGTCGCAGCGTTTCAACACCACGATCACTGAATTATTCTCAAGCGGAAAAGAGACAAATTGGACACTGTTCTCGCGCGATATTTCCGAAAGTTTTGTTTGCAGCCATACACAGCCGAATTCATAACATTTATAAATAATTCAAAATTTGAAGAAAAAAAGTTTACATAATGATTTGTGTTGAATAAGTTATACTTGAACACATCATTTGTCATCATCGCTTTAAGTGGTTTCGCACGCGCATTGTAATTCTGTTTACGTCGTTTTTTGTACGCGTTCAGTTTGTTCACATTCTTTTTTTGCAGACAATGAATTAAGAATAGAGAGAAAGAGAGAGAGATAGAGAGAGATAGATAGATATCTTAAATTGTAAGAATGAGAAATCCCTCTTGAACAATTTCACTTTATGTTTAATCTCTGACCATTCTTGATCCTTTTCATTCTTATAAAACTTACATTTACCGCAAGCGTTACTGTGAAGAGATGACGCCCAAAGAAAAGAAAAATCCAGCCTTAGGGGATGAAGGGATTTCGTTTCGACGTATTTTGCCTGTAATCCAAACTACCCCCGGGCTCGAGAACTCGTCTTCTCGACCCAGACAGGGACTGGACTCTCTAAGAAAGAAAGGAAGAAAGAAACGAAGGAAGTTTTCCCGGACGAGGTTATATCCTTATACTTCTTCCTTTCCTCCGGTCGGTGATCCTGGTTGAGGGATAAAGGACGATTTTCGGGCACAAAGATTGGAAATCGCCCTCGCGCCCGTTATTTCCCGAGTTGAATGGCGGCCACCAAGTAGCGCGACGTTTCTCTCGAGGATTATTTCGGGCCTTCTGAAAGCGAAGTCTTTTAGAACTTCATAACTTTTTTGATTCGATAATATATGGAGCTTATCTGAATCTGCAGGAAAATCTTCAGATTTTCTTCGGATTTGTGGAGATTTTCCACACACATGTATGTACATATATTTTATATGTACATATATTTTGCATTTGTTTACATTTAATCATTTTGAAAATCTATTCCGACGCTTCAAATTTATTGAATCGCAATACTCTGGTTTTAGTGTATAGATATCCCTCTTTCTCTCTGGTTTGGATCAAGTCAATCACGCTTAGGGTGGCGCAAAAGGCGTTTTTGGTGGTCCGCGATGAATTATTGACGAGTTTGCGGCTGACTTCGGTGTCTCTCTCGGCGAGACACTAATTTACGATCCACTCCGAATCCTTGGCGAGATTTATAGTATTAACTTGACATAACATCGGAAAGCTTGCCGATATATGTGCACAATCACCGATTCACACAGAAATCTTGATTTGCAATTAATTTCCCTTCAAATCACGAATCGGAAAATGCGAGATGAATAAAATATACCGCAGCTTATATTTTGCGTTCTCCAATTTTGCCGACTAAATTATACGGCGTTATTTTCGGAATAAATTCGATAAAGCCCGCACAAGCTCGCGCGGTGAAAAACGGTTTAGGGAGAGAAAAAAAAATTGTAAAAAAATATAGGTCGTGAGCGCGCGGCGCACGATAGCCCGCAGGATTCGACCCGAAATCCCTGATAAATTGTCTAAAGACGCAGGGAGAAGAGGAACCACGGAGAAGAGAAGAGAGAAGTGGCCTACGCGCATCTCTACATTTTGCGGTGCGGACATTTTCTTTCGCTTACCTCGGCGAATCCTCGATCTTTTTCTCCGCGATTTGATAAGATTCCAAACTCGCTTACAAAAAATCGATATTTCGACGTTATTGCGATATCTCGTTAAGTTTCTAAAGATCTCACCCCCCGTTATCTCTCCCACCCGTTTCTCGAGATTTCAATAACCAAATATTTATTGCAGATATTTTGAATTTGTGTAAATATAAACTACAACTTAAAATAACATTAAACTTTCAAATTCTCTTGAACAGTAGATATGCAAGTGTTTTAGATGTGCAACTGGTTTAATGCATCTCGTCGCTGAAACGTCCGATTGCATCGCCATGCAGCCGATTTCAGATGCGAGCCAGAAGCTTCTCAGCTGCGTTGTAACCTACGACTTGATTTTATCATTAGATGAAACGTTGACAATTTCGAGTCATATCACCTGTTGCACCAAAATAGCGTGATTTCTCGAGAGCACTATTTAGAATCGCAGTCGGCCTGTCGTTGCGAATCATCGATGCCGAAGGACATCGCCGTCAAGAATACGCTGTATGATTTCTGTCGCAAAAGTTGCATTATTTTTAGATGTAAAATTGATATTGAACGGCTTAACACATCAACGGGTTTTACGTGCAGTCAGTCTAATTATAAAACATAAAGGCGCGTACTCGTGACGTGCATTCTATCGTGTAAAAATAGTTCCTTATTTATTTATCAAACAAAATTTCATTGCAACTGCAATGAAATTTTTTAATCGTTTTTTCTTAAAAGTTTGAAGTAAATTTTCTTCGCAAAACTAATAATTTTCTGAACGTACTTCAATCAAATGTTCAGAGTAAACAAATTTTATTTCGCAATTTGCGATTGCCCGTCTTCGTTGCTTTTTTTTAACGTTGCAGATTTGCAGCATCAAATTTTCTTACTCGATCGTGCGTTCGATTACCGAACGTAATTAGTTTGCGCTGTAAGCAAAACGGAACGCTGTGTCGTATGTACTGAAACGAGTTTACCCTTTACGCCGGACCGCCTTTGCGCGTTGCGACGCCAATTTTCGTTATACGTGCAAAGGGCAGCTACAGCAACCGCATTGCTAATTAGGATATTCGCTGCTCGAGCAGCACTTTGCTCTCGGTATTACCAAGTTGGCATAATTAAATTCGAACCCTTTAAGGAGAAATATTAACGACCGGCCGTCGTTCGCCTTTCTTTTAATAATGAGTTAACAATATATGACTATATGAGAATACGAACGGGCAATCTTACCGTATTTTTGAGACAACCGTGGGCGTGAATTCTAATTGGTGAAAACCCAATTCCTGCGACCTTACATCTTCCAGGCTATTGTACTTCACGTAACGACAAGCCGGCGTTGAAATGTCTGGAACAGAGAACAGAAATTGAATTGCTGAGTTAATAAAAACATGTTACAACGTAGTTAATTTCAAAAGAAAGTTTTAAATAGTTTTTAGAATTGACACTTCAAAGAAAATTGGTGATTGTGACGACATAGCGATTTCGCTCGCGCGAGCACAAAAGTTTTCATCGTGGCCGTTGTCGCGCGCGGCAAAAAAAGTTTAAACATAAACGAAAATTCTCAGTTCTTTCTGCAAAATGTATCTTTTTTTTTTTTTTTTTTACACGTTTATTTTCGCCCCATTAACTGCGAGTCAGTGAGGTGTCTACATTAAGAAAAAAGAAAAGGGTCTCACCCATCTTTCTCTTCGACTATATGAAGAGAGAGAATGTCGAGTTATCAGGAGAAAGTAAAGGAAAGGTGGGGAAGAAAGGGGGATAATAGTCCGCGAAGGTGGTAGATTGTAAAATCGATGAGACTTCTTCGACTTCGCCAACTACGTCCGGATCTTTTTATTACAAAAAATGGCCCGTTAATTTTCTCCGTTGATTAACCCTGTTAGCCTTACGTTTGTCAAACTAAACCGCATTAAAACAAAGTTACAAAATATTTCACAATTTAAGAGCGAAAAGAATTATGAATCGAATTCACATTCTACTTTTCTTTCTCGTGCGCTAAATTGAATCATTTATGTATTGATGAGTCCTGCTTTTGATATAATTGAACAATCAGAGAGTTTCTTTTCCAATTACGGTATGAAAGTTTTATTAAAAATAAAAATTATAAAATTCTAAGAAAAAATTGCTCGCTTTGTTTTTAATAAATATGGCAATTTTTTCAACAAATAAATTAAAGAAACGATTGAAGAGGATAGAAGAGAAAGAGAGAGAGAGAGAAGAGATAAAGGCGGTAAACCGCCGAGGTACTCCAATCAGCTTTCCAACTTCAACCGCGCTTCTGCCTTCCGGCTGGCAACTTTCGCTAATGAAAGCCGCGTGCAAACTCGCGCAAGAAACCATCAAGGTCCGTGTTGTGGACTTCGAGTCTTGTATAAAAGAACGATAAATAATAAAGTTGTATTAAAGTACTATTGCTTCAATAATTAGAAACCCCTGTTTGTTTAAGAAAATTCTCCGCTGACTTGAGACGCAGCAGGTACAACTGCGAATTGAATTTCTCTCTTTCTCTCTCTCGCTCACTTCGAAGAACATAAATGGTAATTTTAATTTATTTGTCTTTTCCCGACAGAACGTGATGACGGTGGGCGTCGCTTCGCAAGACATTTATTGCCGCGATGAGGCATCGTTCGGGATTATTATGCGCTCCGAATGCATTCTTATGCAATGACGCTTAATCGTCGCTGTTCAACACCCTGCTATCTAACCAGTCGCCATTAATTCTCGCAAGTCCTTCGCCGGATTCGCGACGGGATTTTAGGATCATCCTGGTTGAAATTAAAAAACGAGCGGTTGATATCCGGAAAACGAATGTTTTAATAAAATAAATCAAGAGACAATTTTTTTAAGCAAACGATTGTTAATTAATATAATTTAACGATTAATATAAATGTCAATTAATATAAATTGCAATTTTCGATGCCAAGTTTTAATTTTGCGTTTAAATCTGCACATTTTCGAAGAGTGCGATACACAATAACCGATGTATTGACGAGAAATAAGTTGGCGTGGATTCGGTTGGTTTTCCATTTTTTGACTTGTTCGCGATCTTTTTGTTGGCAATATCAGAAAGCATCAACAAATCTGTCGAGACACGCGCACCGTTTAGATTCTTGGCGCTAGTCCAGTATTTCCGGTTGGCTGCGCGCGTTGACTCATTGCATTGCGAGCAAGTCCGTGATTCTCTCACACGTGATAGTTTTATTTTAATGGAGTCTGCCGGGCTCATCATGCGAGTGAAGATTTATTAATGCCAAGATGCGCAAAGAATCTCTGCAAGAGAGACGGAGAAAAAAAGTGAGAGAGAAAGAGAGAAACTAAAAATATATGAAAAAAATATCACAATTCAACAACTTTAAAACAATGTTTGCTTTAAATAAATTGCGTTTGAAGATAATTAAAAATTTCTGCGTTGTCTTTCTGTATTTATTAGCCATTTTTATTGTTCAAGAGTTTCAAACAGATACTTCATCAAACTCTTATATGATTGGAGCATCGATCGTTCTATGAACGAAGACGATATTGTGTTCCTCCACGTTGTCCACGCAAGGATGTCGACAAGGACTTTGGTAAAGCGAACTAGCATCTCTGTTGACAGAAGGAACGTGTTTCGCTTACCAATTGGTCTTTGATCACGTGATTTCCTCTGAACGACCTATAATCATCCTTTCTATCGACATTTGTGACGATTTTGTTGATAACAATTGCCTCGTAATATTTCGTCTCAATTACTATCGTTAAACAATTTGACAAAATAAAATATATACAATAATTTAAATATTTTTTAATATTTTTAATTAATTTAAATAGTTTTGTAACAAAGTATAATTGTACACAAACAGAAAAACAAGAGAAACGATATTTATAGCAGAAAAAAATAGCTTTTAATTTATCACGGAATTTTCACAGAATTTTCATTTACGTATTTAGAGGTTTTAAAAAGTTTTCTGAAACATTTATTGCGCTCACATGCAGTTTACTTAGTGAAATGCGTAAAATGTATAATTGCAAAAAGTGAATTTACATCAAAAACCCATCTCTCTCAAACGCATGTAAAAAATAAATAATAAATCCCCGTGCAGTGACGTGACAACGTCATTTGGATGAAAATTTCCGTTAGTGTCAGAACCGTCTTTACATAAATCCCTTTTGTCTGGCGTTTATAATAAAGTGATAAAGCGGTCGGCATCGACTTCTGCGCCGCTATTCTTCCATTATGCCGCGATTTGTATTACATCGCACGTATCAGCGAGACAATAACGTGTATCGCGAGCACGCGATCGTTAATAAAGTCTCCATGCATTTTACAATATAGCGTCACAATCCAACAATGCAAATAAAAAAGCCTCTCTCAATGTTCTAGAACATCGATAAAATAAAAAAAATTAGTTTTTATTTTACAAAGACTTTTATTTTTCCGCGCAATCTTTATTTATCTACTGTGTAATTTTTAAAACCTAAAATGTAGTTTGAAAAAATATTATTTTACTTCCTCTCTTATATATGAATGATTTTTTTGCCGTTAGAATGAAAAAGTAAAATAACCGCACTTCCATGTTATTTCAATAAAAAAAAAATTATTTTTTTCTTTTAAAAAAATTTTTTTCTTACATCTGCAAACAATTTGAAAAGGAAAAGTGGCGATTCTGCAAGTCGGTCTCGACATAAAAGCCCAGCATATTCGCAATCGTCCGGAAGACTCTCGGCGCGTACTCGCCGACCTGTAAACTTTGATAAAACCTAATCGTGAAGGCGATAAGATCGGCTATCGAAGGGCGTGGCTTATATGAAGGCTTTTGCCTTCCGTGTGATCCTACCTAGCAAGACTTGAAACTTTTTAACAGAATCCGCTCGGAGCACGTCGAACGTGCGTCTGGCTACGTCTGGTAGGCTATGAAATGCGGCCGCCGCCGGTTTGTTGCTGCAAAATCAATATCGCTCTCCACGCCCCTCTTTCCTCTCCGTCGCATCCTCTCTCTTTCTCGCTTTTCTTCTCGTTTCCCGCTCGCAACCGGAAACGAGCTGCGAGCGAGACGGCTTAAAACACAAATACCACAAATAGAGATCGTGAAATAATAATATATAGAAAGAAATGATAACTCTTTTCATCTTTTTTTTTTTTTTTTTTTTCTACGACTTTCAGCATTGAAAGGAAATATCCTGATTGTTTTTTGCGAATATCATAGTTTCACAATTTATAAGTGTCGGATATAAATGTTTGTCCTTTTTATAATAAAAGAGTGTAATAAAAATTAATTTATTTTAAAACATCATATAATATTTTAAGAGGATTAAATGTTATTTATATAAAGTTTAGTTGAATTTTTCTCAGTAGTAGTGATAAAGCTGTGATCAAACATTTTATGAGATTTTCGAGTAAACTGCGATATTAATAAAATTATTTACTTCGTTCTCTCCGGTTGAACTTACAATTAAAAGTTTGTAGGTTTAAGTATAAAATTTTCAAAAATAAAGTCAGATGTGACTAAATATATAAATGTGCGATTTGTCTCATTGTCAGTTATTATATCGAAAATACAAACCAGAATGATTAAAAAGAAATATACGCTGAAATTTCTCCTATACGATCGTGATCGTTTTGCATTATTAATCTGAAGTGTCGTAAAATTCCGAGAAAAACGCGAAACTGACTTTTTGTTTTTATCGATCACGTAAATATTTCTGTTATGTAAGTGGCACCCGGAAACTCACCAACTATTAAGCGATAGTTTAACGCTTTCTCGTAACGATTCTTCTTCGTAACCCGGAGCCTCAGGTGCAGAATCGGCTTCGGCCTTTTCACTCGATATTTCAATCAACCGACCACCACGCCGTGTTAATCGGATTCAACGGTTGTCCGCGGAAACTCATTTAGATTGTCTTCAAGATCAAGACTTCGAGAATCCGTCGAATAAAAAACGTCCTCATATATATATATATATATATATATATGTCTGTCTTTCGCGATTTATACGATGTTAATCTTGATATTTGCACGTTTCGTTGAAAATAATTCTAAACAAACCAAAGATCGAAGCACCTAAAAAGATTTGTATATAGACGTTATCGAAAAATCGATACTTTTTACGGATAATTCCCGGTGCATTCAACGCGCCCGCCCGCTCTCGTCACTTCCGGTTAGTTAACTGTATTTGAAAGGTAGTGTGCTTCCAGAATCGAGAACTCGATTCGAGATACGCGCCGGGAATGCGCGCCTCTCACTACGAAAGACATTTCCGCTGGTGCTGAAGACAATAGATATATCGCGCGTCGTTTTCCGCGAGGAAAACGACGAGCGGCGATGCGACTGCACGCAACACCACTTGCTCACATGTAAGCACGAATATC